CTACTGAAAATGTCCAATTCTCCAACAGAGCAGCTTGTCATCGACCCGGAAGGGGTGGCAAGAAAGGCCCCATGTGATGCAGAAATGGTGGTGCTTGGAGGATAGAGTGGATCACATCCTGAAAGCCTCCACATGGCCGCATGCTGGCTCACTTTCCAATCTGCCTCCTCAGAGTCGTCATGGATCTGGAGACAAGCAGATGGCAGTAGTATAACACCTTCCCTGTTCTCTAGCTCTCATCCCCAGAGAAAGAAAGTCAAAGCTCAGTGCGGTGAGCACATACAAGTGCTTTTAGAGAAGTACCAAATGCCTGGCCTCTATCTGGGACCTGGCATTTAGTAGATGTGCAACACTGATTCGAAGAATGGAACCATGAAGCACACTTCTTCCGAGGCACAAAGTTCTTTCACCTGTAAAATGGGAATATGGATGAGCTGGTGGCCTCTGAATTCCTTTTGAGCAGTAACATCCTCTACCACCAGCCCAGGACTCTCATTACCCCATCTTGCTTTCTTTTCTCCATAGATCCTATCACTATCTGGCCTATTTTATTTATTTGTTGTCTATCTTACACCCCTAAAATACAAGGTCCTCAAGGCCAAACATAGTTGTCTGCCGTATTTGCCACTGTATTTCCAGCAGTAGACATATAACATTACATATAGTAATCGATGAACAAATGTCTCTTAAATGAACAACTGAATGGATTCTCACATGAGAAAACTAAGGCCCAGAGGGCTTTAGTAAGTTTCCCAAACAACTCAGGCAGCAAGTAGCGGAGCTTGGGTCAGAGGTACCTTGACTCAGAAGCCCAGGCTTTTAGCAAGTATTCTATATAAATGAGTTCAATTAACTCAACAAATTTTTCAGGGGGCACACAATACAATGCAGGTATTAAAAATGGGGGATTTTTGGTGCCACTGCTGCAGCTTGCTCGGCAAGAGATGGATGTGTGGTTGATAGGGAAACTGATATGATTCTCAACAAAGCCTGCAAATTAATCATACTTAATGAATGTGACTAATGTGTTAAAGGAAGGAGCGATTAAAATATTAGCACGTCTGAACTTCTCCTCCCTGGCTAATTTGTTCTCCTCCCTAGGGTTACCGTCTTTCAAAGGGGTAGGGGCACAGAATTAGGGAAAGAGTTTTATGGAACAGAAGTGCATTTTAAATGGGAACAGTCTGTGCCGTTCTCAAGCGGCTGCCAGTCTTCATGTCTCACTGCTCAAGCGAGGGACATAGGATGATGGGAGGGCCTGCCACTGTCACAGTGGCTGGAACTGGAGATGGGAAGCCAGGCATTTCCCTAGGTAATGGAGTGGAAACAGGCACGGGCATGGGGCCCTTCGGCAGAGAGGCGAACTGACTGTGGCAGGGGAGGCACATTCCCTGAGGCGGGTCACGCATCCAGAATCATGGGCGTAATTGTCATGTTATAAGGAAGAGAACAATCCACTCCTCGGTTCCACCCCCTGCATAACCTATTTCCCTGGTGGAAGCATCAAGATGGCAGGGAATAGGAAACATCCCAGAACACAACTCACCCTCTTGGAATGAGGAGCCTCCACTGCCTGTTAGCATCTTCCTGCTGTTAGCAATGGGTCAAGCTTCATCATGATACCTGGAAACCTGAGTCCCCCACTCAGGGAGGGTATACTCAGGATAGGTGGGTAATGTAACTGATGAAGTGGACACTTGGGAAAGGACCCAAACCAGCAGGCAAGCCCCTGTTCCGGCTAACAGCGCCCAATATTTTCCTTTATGGGAAGACCCAGGTCTAATCGTGGTTACATCTTTCAAGTTTTGAAGAAAACACAAAAGTGTATGTGTGTGTGTGTGTGTGTGTGTGTGCGTGTGTGTGTGATTTCCTATTGCACTAACAAAGTTAGTGACTTAAACCAGCATAACTCTTTCATGTTTCTGGGGTTTAGAAGTCTAAAACTGGTCTGCAAGGCTACATTTCTTCTGGAGATTCTAGAAAGGATCTGTTTCCTTGTCTTTTTTTAGCTTGTATCAATCACCTGCATTCATCAATTCCTTCTTCCCCTTATCTTCTTCCCTCTTATAAGATCCTGTGATTACACTGGGCCACCTGGACAACTCTGGATAATCTTATCTCAAGATCTCTAATCACATCTGCCAAGTCTCTTTGCCATGTAAGGACAGATAACATTCCCAGGTTGCAGAGATTAGGACATGGGCATCTGGGGGAGAGGGAGGTCGAAGGTACTGGTCTGTGTATCGCTGTGTATGTAGATGACTCACAATCTATAGATGTTAGAAAATAATTCTAAGGTTTGTAGCACCATGTATACCTGTTCAATAGATCTCTAGTGGAACCGACAGAGGAGAGAATAGATGTCTGATCTATGATCCCTCACATATGATTGAAACAAACCACCCACAGGTTAAAACAAGGGCTTTGTGTAATATCTCCCATTGCATTTGTCCATCTATATACTTTGGTTACTGAAGTGATTGCCAAGTATTTATACTGTGAGGTCTATTGACATTTTTTCTACTTCACAAAACTGACAGCACACGTTTATTAAGCTCTCACTGTATACCAACACTGAATTATGTATTTCATATGCATGGCATATGAATCTGCACAGCAATTACATTTTTCTCTGTATTGTACAGATGAGGATTCTGAAGCTCAGTGTTGCCCAAAGTCACAAAGTTAGTAAGGGGTGCAGCTGGTATGTCAGCCAGGTTGTTTGTATCCACAGCCTTAAAGATGTCAGTGTTCAAGGAACAAGTAAGCGGAAGCATGAAAGTTAACACTGTTGCCTCCTGCAAGAAAGCCAACAGTTATCAGGGATTCAGCTCAGTGGTTCTGCTGCCTGCTTTGCAAGCACAAGGTCCCAAGTTTGATCCCAGGTTCAAAAAAAAAAAAGCCAACAGCTACCAAGTGGGAAGTCAGGTCAACCTCCGTAGGTCCAAGTTCTGTTTCACCTGCCACTCTCAGATGTTGGCTTCCTTTCTTCCACCAAAGGACAGATATTCAGCCACAGATTTGCTCTGCTCCTGGCTACAGCATTGGACTAGAACCCAGAACAAAAAGGTTCTTTTATTTATCCATGATGTGTCTTTGCATAGGTCATTTGTTTCCTCTAAGTTTTAGATTATTCATCTAGAAAATGGAGTTACTGTGATGATAGATATATTTACATAGCACTTACTTATGTCAGGTACAGTTCTGTGCATTTTACATCTGTTGAGCCATTTAATTTAAAAAATAACTCTCTGGGGTAGATACTATTATTTTCCCAATTTTGCAGTCTGAAACACATACAGAGTTTATGTAATCTGCCCTAGAACTTACCTAGTGAGTGGCAGAGCTGGGATTAAACCCAGAAAGTCTGGAAATAATTTCTGATCTGCTCTTCATATAGGAGACAGTGAGGACTTGTGAAGAAGGTTCATTCATTTTTCACTTACTCTTATTACCCCCGAAGGGCTGTCAGGAATTGAGTAATCTAACGTAAAGCACTCAGCCTGTGCCTGGCTTGTGGAGCCATTATGGAAGCATCTGTCTAACCCTTCAGTGGTTTTGGGAGGCAGGCTCTGTGTTAGCCATGGGACAAGCCCAGTTGGGGTGGCTCTTAGAGAAGCAGCTCTCAGTCTCAGAGCGCCGCACAGTCCCGGAGGCTACAGGGATGGCCAAGGGCTGGCCTCAAAGAGAGTCAAGAAGAAAGTGGTCTGTGTGTTGTGAACCTACAGGAACAGCAACGAGTCAGCAGGGATCAGAGGAATGAGGTGTGGCTTCAGAGCAGGTCCTGTTTCTCCCAAAACAGCACCATCAGCAAACCTTCGCTTGCTGCTTCCTTGTAGGTGTTTTGCTTATCTCAGCACATTTGCTTCTTCCAGTAACTTTGCAAGATAGGTGCTATCAGTACAGCCTCAACTTCTCTATGGGTGAGGAACTGAGGCATACGGAGGGCAGGAAACTTGCCCAAGTCAGAATGCATGCAGAGGAGGGTCCTGTTGGGAAACTTCAGTGGTCCTCATTTTCATCATATCACAATTCTGCCAAATCTGTGTATTGCTTGTATTTGTATTTACTTAATAGTCAAAATAACTTTTTTTTAAACCTAAAATAATGAAAAAAAAGAACCTTTATTTAGTCACCATGGATAAAAAGTAAATAACATCAAGATAAACAGTATTATTAAATTTTCTCTGGGTTTGGTTTTCTGCTGAAAACTTTGAATACAAGGCTTATTCTGAATTCAAGGCTAATTCAAGGGAGAGGTTAGTGTGGAAAGGAACTGAAATTATATTAGCACCAAACTCAGACTTTCATATCGGTGTAATCACAAAGACTGAACGGAAAAAATAAATAATTTTCCCACCGTGTGACAGAACGTGACCTCTTCCTGCACCCCCTAAAGTCCTACCCCCGATACGGTGTTAAAAGCGCAGACCCGGGAGACATGATTCCTTGCTTCACCGCTTGCTTGACAATCTATTCTGGGCAAAGGAACTAACTCTACAGAGACTATTTCCTCAGTGGTAAAATGTTGCTAACAATTGCTGTTTCTTCATAGGGACTTTAATTACAAGTGAAAGAATGCAAGAAAACACAAAATCCAATGCATAGTAGACGCTTGCTAAATTTAAATCATTATCATTATTAAGCTTTACACACAGATCCATGGTCATTTGTTGTTTGATGATGGTAAGAAATCATTAATGACAACCAACTAGAGATATAGTCTGGGCCATCTGTATGTAAGGAAGAATTTCCCCCATATAAACTATTATATTTTTCATTATCTCTAGTTTGCTCTAGATGAAGTTTTTGGCGATCTTAAAAATCGCAAACTCAGCCCACCGCACGTTTCTCGTGGCTCCTGTGGTCGCCCTCCTTCCCGGCCAACTCAAAACAGACACAGACCAGGACGAAACCACACGCAGAGTAAACGCCAGGCAGGCCCCTCCCCTTCCCCCATATAAACTATTATATTTTTCATTATCTCTAGTTTGCTCTAGATGAAGTTTTTGGCGATCTTAAAAATCGCAAACTCAGCCCACCGCACGTTTCTCGTGGCTCCTGTGGTCGCCCTCCTTCCCGGCCAACTCAAAACAGACACAGACCAGGACGAAACCACACGCAGAGTAAACGCCAGGCAGGCCCCTCCCCCCGCCCCGCCCCTCCCTAGCATGGTCTCGT